ATCCAGGGGGTATAGGCGGTCTTATATTCTACAAGGTATTCCAGATGGTTTTCTGTAAGGTATATGTAGGCTACATCAGGGGAATTGTGTAAAACTCTCTAATGTAGTCTAAAAGGTATTCTAAAGGTTATTCTACAATGTGTTGTAGAAGGTATTCCATACGGTATGTATAGGGAAGTTTTTATCGAGTAATCTGTTCTCTATATGTAACCCTTCTTTATAGAGTATTCCTTAGGCATGCTATTTTGCATATATGAGGTATACAGGGGGCATAGATGGTCTTATATAAGGTATTCTATAGGGTATTCCAGATGGTGTTTGATAAGGTATATGTAAACAGGTGTTGTTCTAGAACATATTCTAAACGGTGTTCTCTATAAGTTAGCGGGTAGTCAAAAAAGTTTATACAAGGTATTTAGGGGCTATTCGCGAAGGTAGTACCGTATTTTATATGAATTCCGGTTAAGGTTTGCAGACAGTGTATTCTATAAGGTATTCTACAGGCTATTCTCTTTTATTGCCCAGTACCATGTTTTGTGCGCACTTCTCGCGGGTAGGTTTGGATGCATCCAGATACGTGTTCCTCGCTTATCTGACGCTGCCATAACAGATCGAAGAACTGCATTTTTTCTCATTGGATTCCTTATAACCCACAAACACACAACCACACACACACACAGACACCCACGCATACACACACACACACACATACGTCTTCTGTAATATTTCCAAAATATGCAAAACACAGTGGTCGACTTCGGCCCCGTAACCAAATTGGTTGCCCCGAATCCACCCCGAAATTAGCCTCGCCTTTAAAAGTGGATTTGAATTAGGGGGTTGATATTGAGGGTCAAAGGTTCAGGGTCTCAACAAGGACGACGACGACGACGATTACTACTACAACTGCTATTACTACTCACTTAATCTCCTGCTTTTTTTACGACGACAACTACGACAACTGCTTCTACTGCTACCAATGCCACAACAACTACCAGTTGAGCCGCATTCACAGCTTTTATTAGCCAAGCCTTCATTGAAGGCTTAATTTTTCAAGCTTTGCTAAGCTTTACGAATCCTTTTTAAAGCCATATTAAGCCCTTATACAAACTTTTATTAAGCCCCGCCTTCAGGGCCGGGTGTCCCACAAAAGCCGGATGTCCCCCCAGACCCGGATGTCCCACGAGAGCCGGATGTCCACCCAGTCTCCCCCAGAGAGCCCCCAGAGAGCCCAGAGCTTCAGGTCACCCCAAAATCTCGATTCCGGGTGGGGAAAAGGCCCAAATGACACCCTTCGGGGATTGAGCTTTCTCTTCTCCACAAACCCATTGGAGGCAATCGTTTGCCCATTAGGCCATGGCCGGATAGTTCTGTGGGCGGGCGGCCGCATCTGCAGTGGTTTTGGTCGCAGGCCCAATTCTGGCGGTCATTTTGGGCCCTTTCCCGAATCGAAACTTTGAAATGACCTAAAAACCGCCAAGAGCACAACCAAACCCGCCCAAAACCGCGCAAACCCACCAAACCCACCCATTCCCACTTGCCCATGCCCCTTTGCCCAAATGCTACTGGTGCTGGTGCTGCGGATGTTCTACTCCTGCTATTGACAATAATTACCACTACTACTCCTGCTCCTGCTGCCGCTGCGATTACTGCTGCTGCTGCTGCTACTACCACCACTACTACTGCTACTTCTCCGACTACTACTACTACTACTACTACTACGACTGCTACTGCTGCTGCTACTGCTACTGCTACTGCTACTGCTACTGCTACTGCTACTGCTACTGCTACTGCTACTGCTACTGCTACTGCTACTGCTGCTACTACTACTACTACTACTACTACCTGCTGCTGCTACTACTACTTGTACTATTCCTTGTAGTACGATGACGACGACTACTTCTACCACCACCACCACCACCACCACTAATTACCACTGCCACTAATTACCACAGCTGCTGCTACTGCTACTATTCTTGTTCTCACTACTACAACAACCACTACTACTGCGATGACTACGACTACTATTACTTCTCACTAAATCTACTACTCCTATTACGACGACAACTACGAACTGCTACCACTACCACAACAATGAGTGTCGCTGTGAGAACTGGTGACCGCTGCTGAGAACTGTTGAGAACAAGCATGAATTGGCATGAACGATCAATGAAATAGCATGCATTGACCGGATGGAAGAGGAGATGGCTGCAATGGCTACTCCAAACCCTCGACATCGACATCATCATCATCATCATCATTATCAGCATCCTTCTGGGCTTATCAGCATCCTCATCCTCATCCTCATCCTCATCCTCCTCATCATCATCATCATATTAAGCAAAGTACTGCCGTCAGACTGCCGGAACAACATTCATGATGAGACTCAGATACGAAACTTACTAGCATTGAAAAGAACGTCTCCTACTCATAACCGTCACATCACAAGCACCTGGATGGGTGCGATGCTTCCAAAGGACTACAATTGCACGACTCAGCAACTGCTCAATTGAGCCGCATTGAAAGCTTTATTAGCTAAGCCTTTATTGAAGCCTTATTTTTAATGCGTATTTACGGATTTAGTGTGTATTTGCACGGATTTAGTATGTATTTGCACGGATTCAGTGTGTATTTGCACGGATTTAGTATGTATCTGCACGGATTTGATGTGTATTTGCACGGATTTAAATGTATTTGCACGGATTCCGTGTGTATTTGCACGGATTTGGTGTGTATTTGCACGCATGTCCTGTGTAGTTACAGAATTTAGTGTGCATTTGCATGGATTTGGTGTGTATTTATACGCATTTAGCGTGTGTTTGCACGGATTTCGTGAGTATTTGCACGCATTTAATGTCCGCGTGTATTTGCACGCATTTACTGTGTACTTGGTGTGTAGTTAGAGGGATTTAGTGTGTGTATTTACACGGATTCGGCGTGTATTTGCACGGATTTAGTGTGTATTTGCATGGATTTGGTGTGTATTTGCACGTTATTTGCACGAATTTGGTGTGTATTTGCACGAATTTCGTATGTCTTTGCCAGGATTTAGTGTGTATCTGCATGGATTTAGTGTGCATTTGCACGGATTTGGTGTGATTTGCAGCCCTTATAATAGCTTTTCTTATGCCCCGCCTTCATGGCCGGGTGTCCCACAAGAGCCGGATGTCCACCCAGTCTCCCCCAGAAAAAACCCCAGAGAGCCCAGAGGTTCAGGTCACCCCAACATCTCGATTCCGGGTGGGGCAAGGGCCCAAATGACACCCCCGAAGATTGCGCCCACGGCCTTCCCCAGAAAGCATGCCCATTAGGCCATGGCCGGATAGTTCTGTGGGCGGGCGGCCGCATCCCCAGTCATTTTGGGCAGGGTCGCAGGGCAGGGTCGCAGGCCCAATTCTGGCGGTGTCATTTTGGGCCCTTTCCATCCAGAATCGAAATTTCGAAATGACCAAAAACCGCCAAGAACACAATCAAACCCGCCCACAACCGCACAAACCCACCGAAACCTTCGCCGGTGCAAGTTCCCAACATCAAGCTCATCTCCATTCATCAAACTCCTCAAAATCGTCATCATGATCATCATCAAAATCCGCGAAACGCTTTACTTTAAACACGATCCCTCTAGAATCGGTGTATTATCCCTCAAAAAACAAAGGGTATCCAGCCCCTCATGGGTTGGGGTTGGTTAAGTCCTTTACGGTTAGGGTTCTAGCATGAAGGCTTAGGGCTAGGATTCAGGGCTTGTTTGTTGTTTGCACGTTTGCTTTTTCTTGTCTCTTTAAGCATGTATGTCTTCTTTCCTTTTTCTGCTTATCCATTTCCTTTATATTTTCAGATTCTGTGTGTCTCTCGTTCTTGCTTTCTTGCTGTTTTTGCTGCCGTCGTTATTTCATTCTTTCTTGCTTGGTTTTGGGTTTTGCGCTTTGAGGGCAAAGCTGCAGCCAGTCTGTCGGGCCCAGATTGGTTCTCGTCAAATCGCACGGTAGTTCCACTGAAAACAGCGATAATTTCCCAATACAAACGGTCGCATCAGCCACATGTGAAGCAGCTCAATAAACGAGCGGCCAATGTGAGCTGCAAAAGAGGCTTTTCTGGAAATACCTTGTAACATGATGAGTTGGAGTAAACCTCCGAACTCCTGTGAAGCAGCCGTCTATCTGCTTCCCAATAGACCCTATCGCATGGGCTTTTATCCGAGAATTTTAGCTTAGATTTGTATGGTGGTGCGGATTGGGGGGGGGGGGGTTGGGGTTTCTGAGTAGGCCCCTATCAACCAAAAACAGAACAACCCCTCTTACCCTAAGGCTCAAAATCGCCCCAGTCTGGCTTCTAAATCAATGGTTCTCGACCCGAAACCCTCAACTTTAGGGCACTTTAGGGTTTTAGAGATTAGGGCTCAAACGTGGCTTACGCGGCTGCTCGTTGCCCTCAACAGCTTCAACCCATTGTGGCGAGTTGTGTATCGCAAGTCTTGGAATGGCTTTCGCAAGATCGCATACAGCAGCCTCAACTTGTGCAGATCATGCAGCAATACGTCAGAGACAGGACGCACTTAACAATGGTGATAGCAAAAGCAATGATGGTCGGAATAACCCGAAACCCCAACCCTGCGCTGCAAAATGCAATTCTGAATACAGTGTAAATATACTTCAAGTTACCTGGGTGGGGAACCAACCCGAAATCTTTCAAACACCACTCCCACAACTTCTCCCCTGCCCTGCCTCTCCGACGGCCTGGGTTTCGCTCTGTCACTTTCTCTCCCTCTTTCTGCCTTCGTTATTTGCTACAATCACGTGGGAGACGGGAACGGCTAAGAGCGGTGCATTGGCACGGGAGCCACTGCGTCGTCGGCCAGTCTTCTGGCGACATGGAGCTATTAGGGCGAGAAAAAAGAACGCAAACAAAAAAACCTGCTTGGGATAGATTAGCTTAAGATCACAAAGGCATGGAAGAAAGATTAATCTCAATGCTCATAGCCTTAAGAACTGATCGGTCTCTGCCTGTTGCCGGCCCGAATCTGAAACGTATCATTTGTATAAGCATATCTACTGTAAGCTATCCGAATAAAAATTGTCAATGTCACTACAATGTACTGTGTTGACGACTCAATCCTCCACAGGAATGCACCAAAATCCCTCTGTTTTGTTGGTTCATCACCGACCTGGAAGCCAACCAACTTGGCTTTTGCCTTGACCTTGGCTTCAAAGGACTGGAACGTGCAGGGCTTAAGGGTTGCCCTAAACTCTGACAATAGACACGCCCATGCCCGTAACCAAGCTTGTCATACAACATGCACGGGCCGGTCGACGCAACAAAGTGTACCCTTTGTTATCTATGACCTCCAAAGCATAGACACGCCGATGTCCGTGACAGATGTACTTGTGCGATGCGTGAGCTGACCACATACTTTACATAATGACAAACCGCACACCCTGTTATGTGTGATCTCGAAACATGCACACGCCGATGCTCGTAGCAAATCTTATCCTGTGCGATGAGTGAGGTCACCACATATTCCAGGCCCGTAGCCAAGCGTGCCCTCTGCGATGTGACTGTGTGAAGTGACCACACATGCCACCTAACAACTCGTACCCCCTGCCCCCTGCTAGGCTATGTGTGATCTCAAAAACATACACACATGGATGCTCGTGACGCACCGTGCCCTCTGCGATGCGTCCACGTATTTCACATAACAAATCGTCCCCCTGTTAGTTGTGACCTCATTAGCATACACACACCGCTGCTCATCACACATCGTACATTCTGCGATGTGTGAGCTGACCACATTGATACGCCGACGCCCGTAACAGATCTGATGCGTCATCTCGGCCGACGCCCGTAACAAACAGCGCCGTTTGTCTGCTCCCTGTGACGTGTGAGGACGCAACATACACACGCCGATGCCTGTGATAAACGGTGTGATAACGGCTGCGATCCCAAATCATACCACGCTAATGCAGGAGCAAGTCGTGCCCCGTCATATGTGACCGCATAATATCACAGGCCGCTCCAAAGGACGATCCACATAACACATCGTACCCACTGTTATGTGTGGTCTCGACAAATACACATACCGCGACCTCCGAAACATACACTCGAACAGGCTGTTCTATGTAATAAACCGTAATTAATCCCCTGTTATATGCGATTTCAGACACATACACTCGAAGATGCGCGTAAGAAATCGTGTCCTCTGTGATGTGTGAGCTGACCGTTATGTATGATCTCAGAAACATGCAGGCGCCCAGTCTTGGAAGAAATTGTACCCTCTGCGATGTGTAAGCTCATCACATACGCCGATGCCGGCCACAACTAGACTTGAGAGCCACGGGCTGAAACGAAAGCTCGAGCAGGGCTGGTGACACGGAAGCAGCGACAAGATATACCAGCAGGCGAGGCAACGAGGGTTTGTACTATCACCACCGCAGTGTTGTTCGATCCATAAGCGCTCGATCTTACTCATTTCCGCGATTCAAACACCAAATTGTCCCTGCTAGCCGCGCCACAGTCGCTCACACACACTCACAAACACGGAATCTGCAGCAGCAAGTAGCAGCTGAGACGACAGCTATGTATTGCAGTGACGTGTGCTTGCAGTCGTCGTTTAGTGAAGCCAATGTCAGACAACAAGATGCAAAGAGCAACCAACACTTGCGGGAGCAGTTTTGATCCAACATAGCAAGTCTTTGCTCAACAGAGACAGCCAGAAGACCAACTTGTCCCTGATAGCCACGCCCACACTCGGCCACACACCCACAAAACTGCAGCAGCAAGTAGCAGCCGAGACGACAGCTATGTATTGCAGTGGCGGTGCTTGGAGTCATCGTCTAGTGAAGCCAAAGTGAGACCGGAAGATGCAGAGAGCAACATTTGCGAGAGCTGTTTACAGCTCTGATCCAACATCGCAACTCTTTGCTAAACAGAGACAGACAGAAACCTCTGCCAAACATAGACGAACAGACATGTTACAGCATGCCTAGAGCAATACGTCAAGTGCACATAATGGCACTCACACATGTCAAGTCTCAGCTTTCCTATCACTGACGCTGCCATTACTACTGAGGGCTTGTACTCTCATCATCACATTGTTGTTGAATCCATAAACGCTCGTTCCTCAATTTGAAATACCAACTTGTCCCTGATAGCCACGCCCACACTCGGCCACACACCCACAAAACTGCAGCAGCAAGTAGCAGCCGAGACGACAGCTATGTATTGCAGTGGCGGGTGCTTGGAGTCATCGTTTAGTGAAGCCAAAGTGAGACCGGAAGATGCAGAGAGCAACATTTGCGAGAGCTGTTTACAGCTCTGATCCAACATCGCAACTCTTTGCTAAACAGAGACAGACAGAAACCTCTGCCAAAAATAGACGAACAGACATGCTACAGCATGCCTAGAGCAATACGTCAAGTGCACATAACGGCACTCACACATGTCAAGTCTCAGCTTTCCTATCACTGACGCTGCCACTACTACTGAGGGCTTGTACTCTCATCATCACATTGTTGTTGAATCCATAAACGCTCGTTCCTCAAATTGAAATACCAACTTGTCCCTGATAGCCACGCCCACACTCGCCCACACACCCACAAAACTGCAGCAGCAAGTAGCAGCCGAGACGGCAGCTATGTATTGCAGTGGCGGGTGCGTGCAGTCGTCGTTTAGTGAAGCCAAAGTGAGACCGGGAGCAGTTTTGATCCAACATAGCAACTCTTTGCTAAACAGAGACAGACAGACACTTGTGCTAAACATAGACGGACAGACATGTTGCAGCATGCCCAGCGCAGTAATTCCAGACACTCACTCTCTTCTCGCACAACATGACACGATACGGCCAGCATCACCAGCATCAGGCAGCACACCCAGGCCAGCATCAGCAGCATCAGAGGAACACCGTTTTTCATACGGAAATCTGAAGGGCACCCACCAAAGAGACCGAAATCTGGCCCAAAACAAGCCTCCTTGGCAACGACGGTTTCCCAGCTCCAGACGGGGGATAGCCGGAAAAACCCACCAAAATGGGCCCACCCCCATCCCCCACACACCCCCCGTGATAACCCCAAGCTCACTTCGTGAGGTAATGAACGAAGTTCGTAATATCACAACCCTGTAACGAGTGGTCTCACAACATGCAGACACACACAGACACACACACACACACACAGAGACTCTATATATATATATATATATATATATATATATATGTATACACGCATGCACACACACACACACACACACACACACGCAAACACACACACACACACACACACACACGCACACACACACACACACACACACCGATGCTCGCAACCAAGCTTGTCACACAACATGCGCAAGCCGTTCCACGTAGCAAGTCGTACCCCCTGTTACGAATGATCCTACTGCAAATGTCGGAAGCAAGCAGGCTTGATCGACTGGCGGTGTGCGTAAGACACGTTTGCCATGGCCTTGGACCTAAGCAACGCACATGAAGCAGCAAAGCCACAGACACGTTCTTGGGTTCCAATCAGCGCCGGTTAACGAGCATGCTTTATCGACACCTGTCAGCGAGCATCATGATCATCAGCGGGGTTCAAGCGGACGCGGCAAGCAAGCATCATGAGCATCATTGGGGCGTTTCGCCATTCAAGAGCGGTCTGAAACATCAATTTTCTACGCCCAGAAACAGGTTGGGCCGGTCAACGGCCAAATCCAGCTCCAATCTCTATTCACTCTACAGGCTGACAGCTGGAGTCGGTACTGTTAGAACCTTGAGCAGCAAGCATGGAAACTTGCATGTGACACGTGAAACATCGTGAAACTGTTCAGCTCGTGGATGTGCAACATTCAGCTCATTACACTACATTACTTCACCTCACCTTACCCAATGACGTGAACTGACCTGATCTGACACGACACGACATGATATGACACGACATGACTTGACACTCAACGTGAAGCAAAGTCCTGAGCCTTGCCGCCACACATGTATATTACTCATTACGTGGCTTGCCCAGCTCGATTCTTTCCGACCGGAAGATGAGTTTGTAGACGTCAGGGGTCATGATGGGGTCATCAAATCGAGGCCACATGGCCAGGGCTAGGGGTTTGGGGGTTCAGCACGTTCTGTTTTTGGGTCCTGAGGAGTTGAAGCCACAGGACTTCCAGGTTTCCAGCTTTTCGATCTAAGGGCTTAGGCTTGGGCTCCGAAGTCTCCGAAACAGCAAGATTTGATTCGACGGTCAGGCGCACAGGTTTTTCTAGAAGGACATGTTGGTGTTGGGCTGGCGAAAATTCGCGATGCACAAGCCCTCCTTGGCTCTGCACGGAAGACTTTGGAGGGGGTTTGCCTGCACCGGCACGTGGTGTTTGGCTGAGCCAGGTTGGGCTTAGTACATTAGTACTAGTATTCTCTTTAGTCACGAGCACAAATCCTGCTAGAACCACTGTAGAACTGTAGCCAACCAAATCAAAACCCACTATCCTGATTGCAACCGACGGGTGGAATGCTGCTGTCTCCACGAACGCTTGCGCATCACAAAGAAGAGGTACGCGCATCACTCAACATCACTTGATCATGAGCCGAAACTGCCGAAACGCAGAAACTCAGGAACCCTGTAGCCAGAAGCCCTCTCCCAGTCTTTGCCCTGGGCTCAAGATACATCTAAGGACAACAGGACGTTCATGACCTAGCAAGCTGGATTTGTGATTTGGGGACCACTTCCGAACATTCCATCAAGTCTCTCCAAAAGCCTGATCCTGTGGTCGCGCCGGGTGTGGCCGCCTAGGAGCACATTGCGGCTTGGTTTCGGTCTGGGCTCCGGATTTGGCAGGAAGGGTCTCGGCTCTCTGGTCTCCACATGCTGGCCGCGGTACCCAACATGCAGGACCCAATATGTTCCAGTTCAAAGTAGGCATCGCGAATGCTACGCCTTCGAGTGGCACGTGCGACAGCTTGCGGGATGCGTCTACGTTAGACTCAGTAACTCCCGTCACTGCTCTGACCAAGCCAGCGATACTATCAGGAATGTACTGACAGTGAATACTCACCATCAGCACCGCATCATCACCACTACTGTCATCGAGGCAAGAAGATGACCTTTGCCTTTTAGTTATAACTATCACACAAAAGTCCAACACCCATGGTGGCGTAGAATAATTAAGGTCGACACAGGGGTGGCGGCAGACGCGGTGGGAGCTGCAGCCGGAGTTGTGGCAGCAGCTGGCCTCACGCAGGGCGAGAGGATGTGGTACCTTCAGACGCGTGGCTGTCATCGCGCTTGCTGGCGCTGCCGAAAAAAAGCTGCGGATACGAAACTTGTCAATCGGTCTAACATCTTCTATCACCCACCCTAAGAATGCTGTTGCACCTTTCGTAGTACAGCTGCGACACCGTTGCGACCAATCGAAGATATCGCATTTCCCGCAAAAACCATCAAAAGAGCTGCTTTGCTGACCAGTACGCCATAGTAACATCACACCAGAGAATTTGGTTGATGTCACACCAACCTGTTGAAGCAACCAGCACAGAAGGTCCAACTCCGCCAAACTCCGAACACTGACCCAAGCGCTCCAACCACCTATCTCCTCGAAAGCAACTGAGGGCATCGCGTGGCGGCCGCACCGCCAGCAGATGGCTGGGACTTCGCCAAGTGCATCATGTTGCCACTCTCGACCTCGACCAAGTTTAGGTTCTCAAGAATTTTCCCATGATTCGGACACGCAACGCCGCGTGACCCTATGTGCTCACTGAGGCCAACGTTTAAGAGAGTCTGGCCTGCACGGCATCGGCTCTCCAGGAGCAAGTGGAAGCATTTTCGTCTGGTGATTCCAAGGGCTGCCTAAGCTCCACCCGAAAGAACCTCGAGCCCTAAGACCCAACAGGTTGCCTCGACGAAACTTCGCAACTCACGATCATCCAGAGTGATGATTCCGGCTAGTGTTGGCCTGGCCTTTGCAAACTCCGGTGAAAGGGAAGACAAATGGCCAAGCCTTCAGCGACTCGAGCATGTCCGTGTCCTTGAGGGTGCGCCTTCGTGCACGCATTTTGGCTTCAGGCGACACGTCGGGGGTTGGAGGATTCATGGTGCACAAGCCCGGCAGAGAATAGGCTTAAAAGCCTAGGCCTAGGCCCTGCCTGCACGGCCAAGCCTTTTCAAGCTGCAGCTGTGGTATGCTCGGTGCGAGGATGCCAGACCTTAGAGCCAAGAAGGGGCAGAGAAGCAGGCGCGGGGTGCTGCCGAAAAGTCTGTTCGCGCTTCAATCTGCGCGGCGACATCTAACGCGGAGATTGCGCGGCTAAGGCTTTTTGCAACCTCAGCCCTCTGACACTCCTTTGCCGCAAACATGGTGGCACCACGCCTTCGTCAAATTGCACTGCCAACCTACTACAATCAGCCCCGGAGGAATAATCACCGTCGCCAGCAAATGCTTCCTCAAACAGCAACCAATGCCCCATCGCCTGAGCCGGAAACACCATGATGACAATGACGATGAATATGATGACGAAGAGTACGACGGATATCAAAGGTAGTCGTATCAGTATAGTGCTAGGGCTACTCATCCTGCTACTACTGCTCCTGCTACTGCCGTCACAAACACATTCAGTATCGCTGTAGACCCCTGTACCAAGCCTTTTTGCCAAGGTCCCGGCTGTCCCTTCGCCTTCTCTTTCACTTCCTGCCGAGGATCCAAGGCCGAAACATTGCAGCTGCAGAGTTCCATGCTTCGGATAAACGCCAGTTCCTGGATATAGACAGAACAAATGCCACATAGATGCGAACGATTGGCGTTCAGTTCGGGCAATGTTTCTTGCGTGCGTGCGCTGCCAGCGCCGTTAGATCTCTTGCAGTTGGCCATCGGCACTGGCCCTCGGAGGTACCATTGACGCTCATAGCAGTGATGGCGATGAGCATGATGATGATGGTGGTGATGATGATGATGATGAGGATGAGGATCTTCGTCCTCTTCGTCTTGTGATCCACTTTCTGAAAAATTAAGCATCGATCGCAGCACAGAGTCCTTAGGTGTTTGAGTGATTCCTGCCAGGGCAGACACCTCGTCTGCATGTGCGCTAGCATACGACCGAATTCTCAAACGCCAACTATCAAAAGGCTCACAATCATATCGCGCACCACATCAAGTGCCACTCACATTCATCGCCACTCCCCTGGCAATCAAGCTACTGGTATCAGCTTCACAAGATCCTATCAAAGAAAACCGAATCGCAACGAGCAGAAACATAATCGAAGTACCTACGAGCTGTTCAGCCTCCACCACTGCCTTCCATATAAGAGAAGCGAAAGTGAAAGAGCACTGATGATCATTGGCACGATGACAGGCTTGGCATGAAGCACCACCAAAGCATCAGAGCAGAATTCAATCTGGCCCTCGTCGTCGTCGTGGTCATCGATAAAACTTGACAAGACAGTGTCACAGAGAGCCAGAGTGGAGACTGACCAAAGACCTGAATCGCTACAATCTTGGCTAATTAGTCACGTCCCGAAAGTGTCCTTTACCGTCATCGATGGCTCCACATTCAAAGTGAACCTCTGACTGCTCAAGGGCTTTTTGTGCGTTCCATTCTTTTGAGGGTTCTGAACATTGCAATTCGAATATGCCGGGGCGTGGTTTCAGCTGCCTCATATCAGTCCTATCAGTTGCAAAGAACTCAGGACCCTCAACGCTGCGGACAAGCTGAGCGAACTTCCTGAGCCGCAACAAGCCCAAAGGCCCCAAAGGCCCAAAAACCAAACCACAAAAAGCGCTGCACGGTTGAAGTGCACAACACCAAGCACACCACGTTGAGCCAAAAGGGCAGTCGTCCAGCTGGATTTTCACCAGCCTAAATACCGCGGGCTAAGTTGTGATTGTATGATTACATGTAAACACATCGCACCATGCAGTTGATATGTGATTCGGAAGCAACACACTGCCATAAACACCGAGTATTCATAGTCCACGCTTTTGCCTCGTCATCATGTACTTTCAGCTGTCTCACTGCTTGTCATTGCTCTCGAACCACCAAGTGCCGGGCATGGCTCCGGGTGATGCATTTCGAGACAGCACTGCGGGAGCGGTTTGCGGTCTGAGGGGTCCTCGCCCCGTGTTGTGTGCAGCTGAAGGACTACAAGGAAAAGGGCGGTTTGCATGGTTTGCACTGCAGTTGTGGCGACAGTTGTGGCTGCAGTTTCGGAGTAAAGCGGAAGGTACTACGAAAGACACAAATAGCCCAATGGCAGGGTGGTAGGACCTCTTCAGCTGGAGTCGATGCGATGTCCAAGCGAAGTCTCACAATCCTGTGGGTGCAGCCCTGACGTGCCTTGCCTAAAGGGAGCTGGGATCCAAACGATAACGATAGCACGAAGGAGCTTGCAGGCCCAGGTGTCCTTCCTAATTTTCCGGCTTTGGCGACTTGGGCCTTAGGACTTTTGGGCACATGGGTCAGTGGAAGGAATTACTAGCCCGCCAGTGAAGGAAACGGACGTCTGTCGAGCCGGTATAGTAGAGCCAGACATGGGTCTGGCAGCTACAATGGTTGCGGAATCCCTATGCTGCTCGTCCGGGAGTCTCGCAGGGCATGCTTCTGTTGTTTAAGGGCTTGCTTGGGGGTGAAAGTTTCTAGTGCACAGTTACATAGCATCGAGGATTTCCTTGGTCGAGATCGCGTAGACTCTCATTGCAAATCCTGAAAATCCGCGAACGTGCCCTAAAGCTACCAGTCACATCCCCGTGTGCAAAGCGCCTCCGCTGCCATAGCCGCTCGAGAGAAACCCAAATGCTTCCGGCACTAACTGGGCACACCAAACTGCGAGCCGCACACATCCGCGAACTCAATCGTTGCTGTATTGGATTGAGTTATACTACATTATACTATTTCAGATTCTTTTGTAGTCGGTTATTCTCTATGAGATGGGTCTATTTCTGGTGGGAGTCGGAGAATAAACGGAGCAGCTACATCTCAGCAACCGAGAACCACAAAATGTCCATTTCAGGACGGCATATTCCTTAGATTCTTTAAAGGGGGGCATCTTCATAGGATAGCAGGAGCCTGCCTTGAAGTTGGGCGTCGGCACAACTGCCAGTGGTAAGTCTTTGGTCCTAATATATATTTGCAACATAATGTACCCCAACACCCCGTGATAATCATTAAGTTTTGAAAGCTCCGATATTACAGAAGCTGTACAAGGCTCTCTGAAATCAAAGCTTTTTCAAGAACTCCTCGGCCCGTCGCTCAGTCCAGACCTTGTGGGTGAGACGACTCCTCTTTCTTGGCGGGGGCTTCTTCGCCCTTCCTTCGAGGGGCCCACGAGCCCATGGTCCTGAGCTTCCTGCAACATCTAAAAAACTCGAAGAGTAGGTTATAGTGTGCAGATAAGCATACAGCTGCATGTAAGTATATGCACACGCCTACATGCTCATTCACAGACGCAAACACACACACACACACACACACACACACACCACATGTGTCTTCTTTCATGTTTCCATGCGTATGCATATGTCGTCTCTGTGTGTGTGTGTGTGTGCGTATGTATGTGTGCATATGTATGACAAAGAAATATATGCGAGATATATACGAACTATTACACATTGGCGCATGCGGCGGACTTTCAGGTTACGACGACGTCCAACAGAACTCTGACAGCTGGCATAGTGGGACCAACCAAGTGCTTCGACATGGATCTGAACTTGGAGCATGAAGATTGACAAGAACGACCCTGCTACCCAAAGCTGACACCAAGACTCTGACCGTGGCTTGGGCGTGAGGACCTTGCCAACCAGGAGGCTGGAGCAGTGCGGGACGGGCCCGTCAGACTTGGCTGACCATGGATGGCCCGAACTCGACACCCCTCCGGCCTCCCTTAAGCGGAGGGGAAAGTAGGACCTAGGAGGAGAGTTTCCTCCCCTTAAGCGCCCCATTGAGCTTCCGAACGATGGAAACCTGTTGAGAGTCCACGTCTTCTTTGACTCCCCGTTGGATGATCCGGGCCGGGTCTGGGCTCGAAGAAGTCTTTGCGGCAGAGTCTGGCTTGACGTTCTGGATGTGAAGTCCTAGAAAATCTTCAAGACAGGACGATACGGACCATGATTCCATATACGATTCCCCGAGTTTAGAGTCTTTGAAGTGATGCACGCTTCTGCCCAGTAAGACCAGTTCTAGAGTAGCAGTCAGTAGTATGTCGAAGCGGAAGGGCAGAGGGCTTGAGCATCTACTCATCCAGGGACGAAGCTCTTCCTCGCATTATGCCATCGGGCGCAACTGTGCTTGCTTCTGCCATGGATCGTCCAATGACAACATGGAAAATCGACATGCTGAGTCTCTGTAAACATGTACGCGATGGATCGTCAACAGCCGGATGCTCGTCAGGATTCGACCTTTACATGGAAGGAGTTCAAGGTTTAGGGTGTGGAGTTAGAGTCTTTTAGAATTGAGGGTGGATTAGGGTGGTTCTCGAAGTCATGTCGGAGCATCCGACTCGTGCGAGCTTGTTCAGTGCCTCTATCGATTAGGTATCCCAGCGTTAGCATGCGGTAAGAGCCCTGGCTACACATGCCAACTTCCCACGACAGACTTTGGGAATTGACGGTTTGTTGTCTGGGAAGTGTCGCTCACCGGCTCAATATATCTGACAGCTTTGCCAAAGCAGTCTACAAAGGTTTGTAGCCGGAGCCATTGCTGAATTTACAAGTTTTGGAAGAAAAATGACTCCCGTGTTATTCTGGGGTGTCCTCACGGCGGCATCCAACAGAGCACGTAGTTAGTTATTGACACGGAAGTTTGAAACGATAAAGGGAGGGATCTCATCACGCACTCCAAATCCCTGACTTGCGACACCTGTCTTAAGGAAAACGCCCGAGTAAGATTTCTGGGTCAGGGGTTCGACTCTGCATCATCTGGAGGCTTGCTGAACAACGCCGGAGCGAATTCCTTCTGCCAGTCCTTGCATGGACAGAAGTTTTCTCACGCAGATGAAGCTGGAGGACACTCTCAACCTTCCGACATACCTAAACCTCGGTCCCAGCCATCATCTTCTGCAAATTCACTGCAAAGCCCTGGCAGTATGCCACGCAGAAACCGTCAGGGCCCATGACGAGTCTAGTTCGAGAGCAGAAGCTGCACACAAAACACGATTCCTCATAAACTTTCTGTACGAGATGATCGATCATCTTCTTCCCTAGTCGAACTGACTGAATTAAGCAAGATCGCTTAGCTTTGCTCACGAATAGCCTGACATGGTCACGTGAGTAGCGCCGAGAAGGCACGTCCGTGCAGATGTCACGTAGCCCATCACCAAATCGTGACACATTCGGGAAACTCTAGCGTGGCAATCTTGTTTTGGACACCGCCCTACCTGTTGAGAAATGCTTCTACCACGGTTTACAAGCTGCCAGTGCTCAATGTCGGGATGGAGTTTCATCCGAACACTCCTGCATGAGCATCAGCTCAGTGACCTATAAGGCACACGGCCCATTATCAGCTTTGCCAAGCTCAACAGTCACATCAGCTTGGCTTTAGTTGAGACATGCGTCTGCAGGCTTCTGATTTGAAATGCTCACAGGTTCAAAGCTCGTCATCCTCTACGGTGCAAATGCGGTACTTTCGATACCTGTGTTCCAACTTTGTATTACTTTGTTATCTGGAACTCACTCGTGCCAGAGTTGGCTTTATGGAGCTTGCGGAGTATGGGGCTTGCGGAGCCCAACGCCTGTATGGCACCCGACTGGATGCTGGATGGAGCTAGGTGGATGGAAAGGGCCTGGCTGTATGGATGGCTAGCGGCTTGGTAATCCAGAAACCGGAAGGAACCCAACCGAACCGTGGCTATCCTGTAATTTCTGCTCGAGCGAGGAAAACGGAGTGCACCTGTTAAGAATTCGCTTCCTGGAAGTCTCAAGCTACTCGGCAGTACCAGTAGTGTTCGCTCTACTTTCACTTGCTCAATGCACGAATCCAGCACCGTGTATATACTCCGATCCTAGACCTCATTCTACGGGGATTGGCGTATGTGAATAGGGGCATCCCGTCAGCCCGACGAGAAGCATGAAGCGGCAAACGCACATGCAAAAGACGTCGCAATGGCTTTCCTAAGGAATCTTCTGGAGTGCTAGCCACTCAGAAACGGTCTTCCCCCAGAATCGCACCTGAGCAAGCAATCCAGCTTGCGTGTCATCCATCCGTGCGCCGATACAGGCCAAGGCCATTGCAGCTTCAGGTCCGCAACTTTGTTCCCAATCACAGCCACTCACCGAGAAGGTCACGTTGAGCCACCCCTTGCACATGATAACCTACAACTGAAACTGCGTGCACTCAACTGGGCCCACCTCATCGGCAGCCCGACATATGCGTCGAGACGACACCCACCTGCGCAAGAACTGCTGAAGCCTGCAAGAGTTTTGCAATCTCTTCAACAAGCCGCCTTCCCTCGTCACCTTCATCATCTGGAACCCATACCTCTCAACGTGAGTTCCACATGCAGTTTAAGACGTCACTATGCCGGCAGCCTCCACCTTGGTCATTGAC